ACCAGAGCAGAGCCTAGGAAGACACCTTGGTGGGTCAGAGTGCTTGCTGAGCAAGCATGAAGACCTGAGTTCAGATCCCCAGCATTCACATTAAAAAAAAAAAAAAAAAAGCTGGGGTGGCCATACATACCAGTAATCACAGCACTGGGGCAGGTGGGGTGATGGGTGTGAGGGCAGAGAAAGGCTTGGGCTTGCTGGCCAGCCAGCCTAACCAAAACACGGCGAGTCCAGGTTCCCTGAGAGGCTCTGCCTCAAAGGGATAAGGTGGAGAGTGATAGAGTAGGACACCTGCTGTCCTTCCGTGGGCTTTACACATGCATTGGTATGTGCACAGAAACACACACCAAACATACATCAAGCACACACACACCAAACACATACACACACAACATACAACACACATACGCACGCCAACACACAAACACACACACACACACCAAACACACAACACACATACACATGCCAGACACACACACACACACACACACACACACACACACACACACACACACACCAAACACCACCTCCACACCAAAAATGCACCAAAGACACACAGACACACACACCAAACAGCCCTACACATCAAACACACACCAGATTAGCATTAGATTAGATCATCTCTAATCAATTAGATTAGATCATCTCTAACAAATAAATTTGTTTCATCCTAAACAAAAGCTTTTTTAAAATGTGCTGTTTTCAAGAGAATAGACAGCTGTTCGATTCCACCCCTCAAGTACTTGCCTAAGTCCCCAAATCAGCATATATTTTAGTTGATTAAATACATGTTAATGCAGACATGCTTTTAGCTTGGTTTGATCTGTAGCCATCTGCTTCCAAATTAGCTTTTCCTGAAGAAGCGTTTGGTAACTGCTCTGCTGATCTTGACATTACAGCGAACCTGGACCCTGAGCATCAGGTCCCCCTCTCAGCCTTGTCTTTCTTGGATGGGGGAGGGGTCCTCACACTTACTCCTCCCCCCTTCAGCCCACCACTGTGCACCCTGAAGTTTGTTCTGCCCACACTTGAATTTCTCTGCTGTTTAGAGCCTGAAGCTGCCTCTGAACACAGAGCTTTTCTCTGTTTCTCCCATCTCCAGAACATCACCCACAACATCCCGCCTTACCCACTGACCTCACACATGCTGGGCCTGCTTCAATCCCATTGCACAAGAGCTCAAACGCCACTTCCTCCTCAAAGCTGCTACCTTCACTCAAGCCAAGTCAGGGGCCTGTTTGATGTGCTCCCTGCAATTCCTTCTAGTCGGTACTCATAAACTTGTCAACCTTGGCCTGTCTGTTCCATTAAGCCATCGCCTCTGCAGGGGCAGAAATGATTTTTTTGTTGTGGCTGTTTGAGATTCTATTCCTAACTAGGAATATTCTATTCCTAGCTTCTAGCACAGTGCCCAGGACACCATAGGTATTAAGTGCTACTCAGCTGAATACAAGCTTTGCTGCTGTCCCATGATATATATATATATTCCTGAAAACTCTACACATGACAGTAGAATACCAGGGCTCATTGGGAAATCATGTCTGAAGCAGACCACTCCAAACTTAAGAGACTGCAAGCAGAGCTCGTAAAAACAATTATCAGGGGCTGGCAACATGGCTCGGTTGCAGGGAGCTTGCCTAGTACACATGGAGCCCTAGGTTTGATCCCAAGCACCCTATAAACCAGGCATGGAAGTAACAGCCTGTAATCTCACCACTTAGGAGATGAAGGCAGGAGGATCCGAAGTTTGAGGCCAGCCTGGGCTACATGAGATAGTGTCTAAGGAAAAAAAAACAAGGAGCTAAAAAGATGTGGAGAGATGGCTCAGCAATTAAAAGCACACACTGCTCTTGCAGAGGACCCAAGTTCAGTTCCCAGCATCCACACCAGGTGACTCACAACTATCTGTTCCTCCAGCTCCAGAGATCCGATGCCCTCTTCTGGCCTCAAAGGGCACCTGCACTCATATACACTTACCACACACATACAATAAAAAATAAATCTTAGAAAATGAATTAGACCCACAGCAAAGACACAGGTCCCAGCTGACAACCTGTAGGGCTGAAAGTTGTTACTAGGGGGTCTCAAAACTGCAGACAACAGAAAACAGCTGATACTGCCTTAAAGCCTTGACATGAGTGGAAGAAAAATGGGGCAGGAGCTAGGGTGATCAGCATGGAAGATGTGCGCCTTTCTGAGGGAGCCCCCGTGACGGGCCCTCTAGTTCCTAGTGGGAGCCTTCTTCGCCCTAAATTCCACACATTCTTATACCATATGCATCTGGAAACAAGCATTCCCCACGTGTACCCGCCCAAATCCCATCCCAGCAATCTGCACAGAACCCTCCTACAGACAGACAAGCCAGTCGGGCCCAGCTCGTGTCAATTCTTATGCAGAGCTGGGACAGCTCCTTCCTTTGCTGCAGCTGAATCCGGGGTTTCTTTGCTGCCCGGAAATTATAATTTTCCTCCTACTCTTTTGGAGTCTCTTTTCTAGAAAAATCTGAGTAGAAACCAGTACAGCTTCCACGTTAGGCCAGCTTGCTACATGACAGCAGCATGGAACTCAAGCAGAACGGAAGTTTTTGATGAGTGTGACACAGTTCACCTCATTTCCTCCCAACATTAAAAATTCATTCTGCATGTAGATGCGGACTCACGCACTAGGTGGTCAAAGTTTCTGCACTCCATTCCTGACCGGAACACCAATTACAGAGATGATGTAGAGCTTATGTAATTTGAGACAGGCAATAGAGAGATTAACAGGAGAAAAGGCATAGACATCCATTATGTGCATGGGAGTTACACAAAGTGTGACACTCACAAAAAAACAGGACCGGACGGCTACGGCTTAAACTCCCTCTTTATAGTAGAGAGGGACGTGGGGGCAGGGAGGCACTTTTAGGGGAAGCACAAGTGATTTTTAGGGGTGATACATGGGCCTGAAGAATAGACAGTAATGTGCTAATGTGAATGGGGGAGATTTCACAGGTCCCACCTCTAGATGAAGAGCTACAGGCAGTCAATGGCTGCTGAGGAAGAAGCAGTTTTCTGCAAGGATGAGCTCTTTCATGGGTTATCTGATGCCAGGTGTTCAGCCAGAAACACACATATGTATGCATAGGGAACAATAATCATTTTTAATATTTTATTTATTATTTTTATTTTATGTGTATGAGTATATTGCCTTCATGTGTGTGAGTGCACCTGTGCTGTGTAATGCCTGCTTGAGGTCAGAAGAAGGCATTGGATTCCCCTGGAACTGGAGTTACAGACAGTTGTTGGTCACCATGTGGGTGCTAGGAATCAAACCTGGGTCCTCTGCAAGAGCAGTCAGCGCTCTCAACCTCTGAGTCATCTTTCCAGCCCCATAACAATAATAATTTTAAAAAGAATAGACAGTAGTCTGGGGAAAAGTTGTATATGGTCTTTGCATGTGACGTTAAATCTCGTCTTTCTACCTGTGCATTAATCTACCGGAACATTTAGGTTTTAGATTGAGGAAATTTAGAGGAAGCTGCTTCTTGCACTCCTGGGGAGAAAAGAAGAGGCAAGCTTGGGGAGCAACCAGAGAGGCCTTGGTTCCTTTAGATCAAAGCACTCACTGTGCCTAAGCATCACAAGCTGGTTACCATTTTCCGAGTACAAACAATTGCAGTGCTTATTTGTAAGTCACTTTCACAACCAAACTACGTCAAAAAACTAACCCAGGAGCTGAAGAGATGCTCAGTCAGTAAAGCACTTGTCATACATGAGGGCCTGCGTTTGAGCACATATCAAAAAAGCTAAGCATGGTATTATGTGATGGTAAACCCAGTGCTACAAAGGTGACGAGGACCCCGGGCTCTCACTGGCCAGTCAGCCTAGCCTATTTGGTGCACTCTAGGCCAAATGTGACACCCTGTTTCAAAGAGCAAGGTGGACAGGTTGACCTCTGGCCTCAACATGCATGTGCACCTGCATATATACAAGTACCTGCACACATACATATACACACACGCTCATGCACACACATAAAAGTAAGCCTGGAAAAGCCTGTGTTACCCAGTAAATAATGCAAGACAACATTTACTGCATACGGGCAAGTGTCCAGGACTGACCTCTGACCTCTGCATGTTCCCTACTCAGTTGTCATGTCCAGGCCTAACAAGGGTGTTCTGAGGTAGATCTATTCTTACCTTCCTTTCACAGTTAAGTCACACAGCTTTAAGACCACAACACTCAACCACTCCATAATGGCAGAAAAACATAACTAATTAAACACAAGCATGAAATAATAAAGTACAAAACTATAGTCTGCAGTTCACTTGCAGCACTGGCTTTCAAATATAAGGGCCTGACAGATCTTTCCCTAAGGGCTGCTGGTCCCCATGTGAGCCTCCACCATGAACATCTGGGAATATAAATCTGCCATGCCCACCCACCAGCATCACACCTCAGTAAAGAGCACAGACCGTCTACATATTGTGCACGTCAGTCAATCCCACAGTTGGCTGCACCCCAACTCCTGCCCTAATTCTGCCTCAAAATGCTCCAGTCTCTAGCACAGCTTAATCCCCAGGAAAAAAGAGCCAATGGCAAGAAATCCACCGCCTGAGTTGTGGGGAGTGTATTTGTGGATTCCTTTCTTTTTCTTTGTTTGAGACAGAGTCTCACAGCCCTAGTTGGGATCCAACTCATGATCCTTCTGCCTCGATTTTATAAGTGCTGGGACATGGCAGTGTGTACCTGCTAGAGTTTGTACTTTGTCTCTATTCCTTCAAGGTGAGCTGCCACGAGAGCCCTTCATGACACTAGGATACTTTCTTTGCAGGTATTGATGCTTGTATGTTGGCATCTTTGGGGCAGTTGTTTCCCCTTAAAGCTTCTATAAGGCATTTTTCACACTGAAGTCACATTTAGTGATTCTTGGTACAACCTCCTAGTAGATTGATTTAATTTACCAATGGCTAAGTCAAACAGATACATTTACTGGGCATCAACTGAGAACAATGGAAAACTTACTTGTATAAACTGATGGTTGGTTCAACAGCCAGTAGGACAAAGGGCGCAGCAATATAGGAGACAGCCAGCTGGGTGGCGGCCCAGGTAACCACATCATAAACACATTTGAGAGCTTTGGAAGAAAGGAAGCGATGTCTGAAGTTGCTCCTCACCTGCAGACCGAGGAAGGCAGAAGTGAGGAGACAGAAGTTACAAAAAGCAACTCCATTCCATGCACACAGGTAGCAGACCACAAGAACACAGGCTGCAGAAAATAACCAACCACCCCAGTTCTATTTCAACTAAAAATTCCATTAGGTTTTTGCCATTTTTTTAAAAAAAATGCACATTCACTACAGAAGACGGTTTAAAAATTAAAAGTTCTTTTTCTTTTTCTTTTTCTTTTTTTTTTTAACCATGTTCTCCTCCAAAAAAGGCATTCTTTAAGAACTTGGCACGCAGTCCTCCAAAGCCTTTCTATTTATACGCATCCACATTTACATTCTTTTAATGCCACCAGTAGATCTTTTCAGCCTGTTTTGTAATCTATCATAGACTTTTTAATGTCAGTAAATGTTAATCCCTAATGTAATTTTAAGTTAATTATGGGAAAGTTAGCTTGCTTGCCCGCCCCTTGTTTTGCTATTATAAACAATTTTGTGATGCATACCCTTATTAGCAAATCTCCGTGCTGTATCCTAACTGCTTCCTATGGAAATATTAATGCAGGTATTGCTACCAGCACTTCTAACAGCGACTGCTATTTATTGAGTGCCTACAACATGCCAAGTCTGTGCTAAGGCTGTATGTGGATCGTGTCTGTTGAATCTTCTAACAAGTCTACTGTATAAGCACCATTATTTCCATTTTATAAATAAGGACACTGATATTTGGGTGAAGAGATATAACCCTTTGAAACATAAATGGAAGACTCTGAGTGGCGGCACACAGCTGTAATTCCAGCACTTGGGAAGTGGAACCAGGAGGGCCAGGAGTTCAAGGCCAGCCTGGGGTATATGAGACCCTGCCTCCAAACAAAAGAAATGGAAAAGCCAAAGATCACACTTGTTTGTGGGTCTGTTGACACAGGTAACTAGACTTGTACCCAGAAAGTGCTCTCATTTCCAGGTTCAAGAATCAAAGGAAGAGCTGGGAGCCATGGTTGGCTAATCAGCAGTTCTGCTCTACAGCAGGAAAGGCTTCCGCAACCAGTGCTACCCAGCAAATTGAAAGACCCTCCTTGGGCCGTGGATGTAGCTCAGCTGGTGGAGTACTTTCCCAACATGCACAAATCCCTGGGTTCAGGTTTGATCCTCAGTACCTTATAAAACCAGGCAGGGTGGCATAGGCTTATGGTCCCAGCATTAGGAGGCAGGAGGATCAGAAGTTCAAACTCATCTTTGGCTACATAGGGAGTTTGAGGCCAGCCTGGATTACATGAGACTCTGTCTCAACAGTAAAAAAGAACAACAACAGCGGGGCATGGTGGTGTACGCCTGTAGTCCCAGCGCTCCAGAGGCAGAGGCAGGTAGATCTCTGTGAGTTCAAGGTCAGCCTAAAAAATAAAAATGATTCTTTTCCTCAGCCCTTACTCCCTTAGGACAGTGACTACGTCTCTGGGTAGCAGGTATGAGATTTTACTGGCTAACTTCCAGAAGCCTAAGACTTCATGACTGTTGAGTTTATTCTTCTTAAAAGAATGGAAGATCTGTTCCATCAATCCTCTCCTCTCCATCTCCTGCCAAACTTACCTGTAAAAACGTTTCCAAGTTCTCAGTAAGGAAAGATCTGCATAAACCAAAGCCCTTATACCAGCAGAGACCAGCAAAAAAAAAGATATTTTAAGGAATATCTACTCTGAATATATCAACAAACAAAATTTTGCCCTTTATTTCTTGGTTTGTCCTGGCTATCTGCTCTTTAGTTTCGTTTTATAATCTGAGTAGGTATATGCATAGGAACACAGTAAAGGTCTTCCTGCCTTCTCATACTCAAATATGAATTTAATTTTCAGAATGTTTTAATTAGCATGACTAGTAATTCATTTTCTACCTTGTTCATATATCTACTCTACTACAATTTCATCTAACTAAAATTGGAAATCCTTGGGGGAGCGCTCTTGTCCTGCTCACTGCAATCGCTGAGACCTATATGGTTGGCATATGACAGGGCTCCTAAAATATTCATAGAATAAGTGCATTGAAGAATGAGTACATAGTGAGGGCTTGGGAGACAGCCAAGTGTGAGTTCTAGCACTGGAATCTACTTTTAAAAAAGAACCAGGCATGGTGGCATTCACTTGTAATCACAGCACTAGGGAGGTAGAAACAGGCAGATCCCCAAGAGTCCTTGGCAGCCAGCAAGCCTACTTCCAGAGTTCCAGGCCAGCGATGACTCAAAAAAGATGGAAGGCATCTGAGGAACAACACCCAGGGTTGTCCTCTGTCCTACACACGAATACATACATGTGCACGAGCACACACACACACACACACAATGAGTAAATAGCAACATTTATACATAAAAAACCATATGATTAATGTCATTATAACCTCTTGGCATTTGAAATAAGGAAAACCAGAATCATGATTAAAGAACAAAACTGGATCAAATACAAAACTCTGTACTGAACACGAATAATGTTATGCTAAGTTGACTGAATTGGACATTCAAAGTTAGGTCCACTGCCAACAGACACAGTTCCTATGGATGCTGTCTCACTGACTGCTCAGAGACGCTGCGAATTATTTCTTGGCTTAGTATAATGACATGAGAAATTAAGAAGGGAATAAGTAAATCTGGGAGAACATACATTAGTTAATAAACATCAACTGTAATTAGCAGCCTTCACATATTCAGTTTTTAATGATTAAAAACGTGTTCATTTCTTAGGGGAGGAAATACTGCTCCTAAAATTCTTTTGTTTAACCTTCTGCAAATAAAATGGTTAATTATTTTTATAATGATTACAAGTACTTACACATTGAAGTATTTCTTAAAAGGAAGACTTTTTGCATATATTTGGATATTTCTTGGATTTTTGAGTAAGATCAAGGGTAGTATATATCGTTTGATTTTTTCAAAAATATAATTCCAGAGGGAAAAGTGCCACAGGGAGGACCCAGTGACTGTGCATCGAAGCACCCTTCACAGCATCCCTCCACTCCGATTCTTGCTACAACAGAAAGCATAACAACAAACACACACACATCAGATTGCTGAAGACCCTACGCCTCCAGGAAGCTTACCGCTCTAGCTGCCAATGTGACAGGGACTCCAGTTAAGAAGGTAAAGTAGTATCCAGGGTAGACGCCATGCCACAGAGCAGACAGGACGAAAGTGAGCACCGTAGGGTACTGGGGAACCCGCTCATAGCACACACTGTAAAGAGAGGAAGGACCGACAAGCCCCAGGTAAACACACCAGATGCCTCTGGCTACACCTGCTCCCTCTGGGGCAGACCACACAGAGGTCCTTAGGTGCCTCTAGGAGGAGGCCTGTCTGACCTTGTCAGAAACTTGCAATGAAATGCAGGAAAGCCTCTGCTGCTCTGGTGTGTTTGAATGTTATCAGAAAAGCACTTTAGCTCAGTTATACATTCTAACCTCATTAAGTTCAATGGCCTGGACTCCCTCACAGGAGAACTATTAGTGTAAAGGCTAGGTGGTCACTTTCAACCTAGCACAAGTTCCTGCCTTACAGAAGCTGATTCTAGCAAAAGTCAAATCCACGAGGGTTATTGATGTGAGTTCCATTGGCATTAAAACATCTGGACTTGGGATAAGCACCCACAAAAATTATTTTCATTTAGCCAACATTAATTTACCTTTCTAACCAGCCCCCTATGCCATCTAACTCATGAGTGCAACCCTATTCATCTCTCTTAGTAGAGTCTAGTGCAAAAACGAATGCGTCAGTTAGAGCATCGGCCCAGAGCCCATCAGATTTTAAGTCACCAAGAGTGATAGAGGTTGAGCAGACTTTGTAAATACATGGTTATCTTGGGGACAAGACCCAGGTCTAAAACAAAGCTCATTTTGTGTATACGTTACACACACAGCCCAAGTGCAACTTTACAGAACACTTCCAGTGTGCCTGTGTTCTGACTGTGTACGAGGTCAGATTCCACTCAGGACATCATGTTAGTGTCCAAAAACTTCAGATTTGGGGGCATCTGTCTTTTCAGATATTCAGATTAGAGATGCTTGAACTGTACTGTGAGGACCTAGAAAATGTCAACAAATGCCTTGAAGATCGTTGGCTCTTTAATTATTGATTAAAATGAAGTGACAGAGCTTTCTCCCCAAAACTTGGTTGACCCATGGCCAATGGCAGTTGAAGAGGCCACTACATGATTCAGTGACAGAACCCAAATAGAAAATGAAACAGAAATTCAAGCAGTTATCACTAATCCATCACTAATGGTTCAAAAATGCCTGATTACATCCAAACTCAGGGTTCCATCTCCCTATTCATTCGCAGAAAAAGAATATAATTGGGAAGGTGGACATAGGTTTGAAATCCCATTCTCAGTAAAATTTCTTTTTTAAATGAGGACTCAATTTATTACATATTTTTATGCTTTGTATCTTTGCCTGAATGAAATGTTTCATTTCTAAAATTTCTCATTATTTATGTGCAGAGAGATGTGCTCAGTCGCCTCAGATTGTATACCCCTAACGGAGTCTGTATGACTCTTGGCATGTTGGGACTACTCGGTATAAAAAAAAAGATGTTGGTGTTAAAATTATTTGTAGTATTAATTAAAAACAATCATGTTCAGACCAGAATTTCAAAAACTGCACGACCAGACTAGCTTTCAGAAAGTGGCACATAAGCGACCTTTAGAGAATTACTACATTGTATCTCCTTTTTGCCTCAATATTTTAAGATTGATTTATTTGTGTGTGTGTGTGTGCGCGTGTGTGCGTGTGTGTGTGCGCCTGCGTGCGCGTGCGGGCGCACATGAATGCAGAGGCCAGAAGCGGGCTAGAGTCACAGGTGATTGTGAGCCGCCCGATATGGGTACTGGGAACTGAACTCCAGTCCTCCTCAAACGCAGCAGGGACTCTCAGCCTTAAGCCATCTCCCCAAGCCTCCCAGTGTTTTGGCTTGTGAAAACCGCTGCTCATGAAAAGCAAAGCTCACCTGTTTCAAACTCTCCCTGCACTTGTTCTGATAGGTACAACCAAGAGGCAGAATTTGGTTCTTTGAAACTAGAATATCATTAGTTCCATAACAAGTAATGCTTTGTAGACAATAGAGACATAGGACAGAGAAACGCCAACAAAAATGCAAACTTAAGAAGCACCAGCATGCGGGGCACCCTAACGCTCTCAGTGCTAGGGATGGGCACAGACTCCATCAGGGATTTGATGCTGACACTGACTTCCCAGGATCTGAAAACTAGACTCTCCCAGTATCAAGTCACACAGCAGAGAGGTCAAGAGCCTCTTTCAAGAGAGAACTTTGGCCCGGTATCTATCTTTCATTCGCCCTGTTTCACTTTCCTCATCTGGGACCTGAGGTCATCTGACTGATGACATCTCACAGATGGACACAAGGAATCAGCAAGTGTCTGGTGTGAACTAATGAGCATCACGAGCACCACCTTCTCAAGCCATAGCTTCTACTTTGTCAGTTACAGGGCATAGATATTAGTACTGTTAGTCAGATGGCCTGATGGCTGGCTACTGCCCACCTCCTGAAGCCCGCCCCAGCATACCCCCGCTGGAAACAAGGTCATTCTTGCACCCCTTACCATTTTAGCCAAGTAGATGTCTGAATATTCCAGTTTTCTAAGTACATTTTGAAACTTGTGGCAGTCTAGAAACAAGAAAATAACAGCTATCATTAGCTTTAAAAATACCTCAAGCAGTGGAAAGTCCTGCCCAGAACTTCCTTGCTGGCGGATTCGATGTGGGATTTCAAATGGGATTACTCACAGCCGAGTCAATCAGCTGTTTCACCGCTGGCGGTAACATTTGGTGGTAACATTTTCTGGCATTTATAAGATTTACTTTGCAACTAAAACTTGGCTTGGGGACTCTCGATTCTTCTCAGAATTTATTTTCACATTATAGCAAAACTGAAGGAGTAGTTTGTGGGTTTCCTTCCATTCTGATTTAGGAAAAAATTAAGTCAAGTGAATTTTAAAATAACTACTCTAAAAAAGGATTTACCACAGGAAAAGTTTAATCTTTTGATTTTAGTGCCTTTACGGACTATTTAAATGACATGGTTATTTTAGTACTATGTAGCCTGTACAAACTAGGTCAGACTGTGGCAGTTGCTTCCGTAAATAGCTACCTAGCTCCAACTGCTTCCAATTTTGTTTGGAATAGTAACAGACTTCATGCATGAAAGGATCATAATACAGGAATGAAAATAAAGAACTATCACCTAACTGACACTAGGTAAGTCAGTCAACCGCCAAAGAAGACATCCCCAAATAAGCTGTGAGCTGTGCTTTCTGGTTCAACTGTATCAAAGTCTGAATGTAAAAAGCACAAAGCAAATATGACGGCCACAACTCTGGAAGAAGGCAGAAAGGGGACACACCACTTTTCCCTCTTAAAAGTTTCTTCAGCCATAAGAAATCTTATATAGGCCACACACCTGCCTAAAGTAGGTGCGTGAAAAGGAGGTAGAGGAGAGAGTGGGGGAGGAAGATAGATGGAAGATGAGAGATAGACGGATAACTGATGGAAGATGGATAACAGGTGGTACATAGAGTAGATGATGAAGAATATAAATAGATAGAGAGGGATACATAATAGGTAGATGATGAATGGTACTAGATAGGTAATTGATAGATAAGACATGACATGAACAGATAGACAAGAGATGACTCAACAGATGACAGATAATACTTAATGATAGGTTGACAGGTGATAAGAAAAGAGATGATAGATAATAGATGGTAGATACACAGAGGATGGAAGGCAGATGGATGACAGATGATAAGGTAACATGATAAATAGGCAGGTAGGTAGATCTATTATTTATCTTGAGTTTTTATTAAAATCCCACTGTCCCTGTCTACTTAGCTAACGAAACACTGTAAACATGGCCTGGAGGCACTGTGACTACATCAGACTCCCATGTTCTTTTGCAGTTTTCCCCTTATCAAATACAATGAAAATATCATATTGTCATTGTCTTTTATAATAATCATATAACTTAATAACAGTCTTTGACCCCAATCACATGCCCACAATGAAAACTTTCTCTTGTGAAATACACTCCTGAGCAGGAGGTCGACTCTGAAGGACAGTGGCCCAGAGTGCTCCAAGGAAGGGAAGTTCTTACACACCCAGCGCTGTCTGACATACATGGAAAAGACAGGCTTGCAGACTTTATAGGCTTTTCCAAGAGTGGGAAATGTTAGGAAACCTGGAACCTGTCCATTGGAGAGGTGGTTTATTGTGATAGAAACAAAGTGTTATTTTCTCAGACTGGCTCCAAATTTGGGTCATTTTCTTGACATATTTTCCAGAGCTTTCAAAAACAAGGAGCCCTCGGAGTCTAGAATCATCCAAACGTCAGTATTTTTGCTGAGTAGAGACTCAATGTTTGTGAAATCTGATTGGCCTAAGTAAGGCATCACATAATGCTAAGAATTTAAGTTGAATGTATGATGCAATTTGGTTGGATAATGGGTCTAAAATGCCCCTATTTCTTTCCACCCATTTGCCTTCTGATGTAACAACTGAAGCAGAGATAACAGAAGGAGGAAGAGGAGGAGGAGGAGGAGGTGGAGGAGGAGGACGAGGAGGAAGAGGAGGAGGCCAAGGACCAAACAAGGAGGAGGATCTCTAACCCTCCCAATAAATCCCACACGTCGTGGTAGGTGAAAGGCGGGTTACCTTCCCTGTGGACTTCAGAATGCAGAAGGCCTTAAACAGAAGGCGAACGCTTTCTCAGTTGCTCCTCCTGAGCTAGCTTCCACCACAGTGGGCAGAAGATAATCAGTCTCCCTGGCTTCCCCAAGCTCTCAGAACTCTGCCTCAAGGTTGGTGGAAAACAAAAACCAACAGCTAACTTGAGTTGCCTGGCCAGAGGGCAACTGCTTCTGCATGTTGGAATCTAGTCCTTTCCTGTTCAGCTGTGGGAGGACAGACTCAGTGACTTGGTAGTCCCTCCATGCTTGTGCAGAGTAAAGCAAGCCAAGATGATGTTGCCCCAAGGAGATCATATCTGGTGCCGAAGACACACAGAGAATTGTGGACCAAGAATAAAAACAGGAAGAGAAAAACCACACTATCCGAGTGGCCTAAAAATTGTGTACCGTGACACCTCTTCTCCAAAGCAAATGGATTAAAATTGCTTCCAAAGGAACCACAGATACCATACAGTATTGAAGTCTAAAAGCAAGAGCCTTCAGTCAGCATGCTAGACTAAAACCCATGTCAAATGCAGACAAGAGAAAATAACATTTGCACTTCCTATTTGGAAGAAAAGGAATGTGAAATCTGGCCCTTTTCCAGATTTCTGGTGTCAATTCTTCCTGGAATCATTAAAATGGTCAAGAAAGTAGGTATCTTGAAAAACAAAAGAAGAGAAGGAGGAAGAGGAGGAGGGGCAGGGGGCTGACCTGTCAAGACCAGTTTCTCTCCAGCATCTGATGAAGGACTCTGACGATCCCATGCTCAAAGCATACTATTTGTTTTAATCGCTGTGGACATTTGTTCCAGAAACACAAAAGACTCACCTCAATTTTCCAGATGTTCAGGTTGGACAGCAAATCCCAACAGAAATTCCCATCCTCATCTATGCCGCTGAACCCAAAGCCAGCTGCGTTGTGTACTGCGTCAGCTGTGTTTTAAGACAACACATCAGGATAAGGGACAAAGGTCGAACAGCAATTTAAAGGCTTACAAACATTTGTCTGGCTTCAACAATGAGAGATATGTGGTAGTTTCTTAGGAAAAGAACCAAAAACATATGAAGGGCTCAGGATCATCATGAGCCAGGCTGTTTGGTGACTTTGATTTCTATTAATTTGTTCCTTTGCCTTTACATAAAGCACTTGCTAACGGCACCGTGCTAGATGTTCATAGAATGGAAAGATGAGAATCAAGAAGTGAGGAAACAGCAGGATTTAGTGACGGGCAGGATGTGAGGGGTAAAGAGAAGACAGTAGAATATACCACAACTCAGAAGCAGAGGCCAGAAGAAGCAGGGATGCGAGAGAGGAAGGGAAGTCACCACTGAAGATGGAAGGGCGTTGTTTCCTTTGGCTCATGGTGGGGAAGGCATGGGGAAGCCGGGTACATTGCACCCCATCCGGAAGCAGAAAGAGGAACACTGGCTGTCCACTCCTTGTCCTTCAGTCCCAGGACTCCAGCTTCCAGGACGGTTGGGTTTTCACACCTCAGTCAAACCTCTCTGGAAACACCCTCACAGACCCACCCAGATATGTGTCCTAGGTCATTTAAAATCCCATTAAGTTGACAATCAAGATTAGTCAGCACAGAAGATGAAGGAGAGATAGGCTACGTCAGGAGAAGATCCAGTTCTGGAAGAAAACAGAGCTTTCCTGGACCTGTTGCCTGTGAAGGGCCGGGTGGGCTATCAATTGACAATGCCAATACGCAGATAAGGAAAGTTTAAAACCCAAGACAAGGAAACAAGCCAGAGTTGTGAACTGGAAGCCAGATGCCTTGGAAGCTACACGTGTACAACAATGATCAAAACTCTTGCACCGTATGTGGTGGCACACACCTGTAATCCTTGCACTTGAGAGGCAGAGGCTGAAAACAGGAGAGTTGGCGGCCATTCTGGGGTATGTCACAAGTTCAAGGACAATTTGGGTTACATGGAGAGAATCTGTCTAAATAAAACAGCACTCTTATCCATGGGATCATTCTAAAGGTTCCACCTCTATCTTTCTTTACTTCATCGATCTATAGCAAAACAGTTCCCACAGGGAACAATTTGCCCAAATCAATTCCTAAATGAAGTGTTTTTGTAACCAAATGCAGTCCTAACAAAAACAACATGTTTCTCTGATAATGATCAGGAGACTAATTCTCTCCTTTATGATGTTTCAAATTCTATTAGAATATTCTCTTCAAGAAAAGAGTAATTAATGACTCACTAATTAAATCATAGCGGTTTAAAGTTTTAGATGCAGAGGAGATTTTAGAGAAATTCTTCCTATAAAGGTTCAAGTGCAAATCAAGAGCCTTGGGAACAGCTATGCTAAAGGAAACAGCCTTCCCCAGGATAGGAAAGGCTGGGTGTCCAACGGCTGGCCACTTGTCCTGGGTTCCATGCCAGGTGCCGGAATGAAAAAAATAATTCTGTTTGTCTCCTCTATTTTTGGTATAGTTGATGGTTTAACAGTGCTTATCTGAGGCTTGGCCTCGGTATAAAATGATCTGGTTTCTTTTAGAAGAAAGGATTGGAAAGGACTGAATCATTCATGCCATCCTCTCTTCTAGATGAAAACTCAGTAGAGACGAAATGGAAAACAAAGCAAGCACGTGTCAGAAAAGGATCCTTGTGGTTTTATCTGTGTAGGAACAAATCTATGAATTACAGACATAAACTAGGGACAGCTAAAACCACAGCTGGACTGCCTGTGGTATAACCAGCACAATGATTCTTAAATTCCCCTTTCTCCCTTCAATTTTTATGTCCAGCACACTTAGACGTAAAAGAGTAGAGCAATGATTGTGTAAATACATGTGTGTTTTCAATAGCTGTCACCTATACTAGTCACATTTTCAGATAGCTGTGACAAAATACCTCACAGAAACAATTTAAAGGGGGAAAGACTTATTTCAGCTCACGGTTCTAAAAGCTTCAATCCATCATGGTTGTAGGGAAGGTGAGGTGGTAAAACAGTGCACATCACGGTACTCAGGAAGTAACGAAAGCAAGATACCCTTGTTCCCTGGCTTTCTCCTTCTCCCTCTTTTATCCCATCTGAGCCCCCACCCAGCCCTTGGCATGGCACTGCCCACATTCAAGGACTGGCGTTCCCTCTTAGTTCACTGTCTCTGGAAACACCCCTACAGATCTATTCAGAAGTATACTAATCTGCTAAGCACTTCTCAGTCCAAACAAGCTGACAACCACAATTAACTGTGACACCACCTTCCTGGGCTTCCTGGGTCTCTACAATCAGTCCCTCCGGCATTTCTTACAATCCTCAGAGCATTGCTAAGACGATCAATAAGTGTGGGCTTTTCAGGATATTAACACAAGGCCTTGGAAGAGGTGTCTAACTCCATACTCCATGAGGATATAAAGAATATAAGAGTGGCACATTTTAAAGAGCTGTTGAAATGAGTGGAGAGTACATAGCACAATACCTGATCCAAAGCAACACTCAGGAGATGGTGGCCATTTTTATTATGATAGTTGGCAGCCATTTTTATTACAATGGCCTCCACTAACTGGGCTGGGAAGGAGACTGAGGCTAGAGATCTTAGTTCGATGTGAAGACCATTCCTGTGGCAAACAAAGCCAGAATATGAAGGCCAGAATTGATTCCACAACCTGAGCAGCTCAGAGTCCCTCTGCTGGACAGACAGATGACCCAAAGGACTGAGTCTCAGAATCACCCTCTTTGGAGAGTCAAAATTCCCTATTCCACGTAGTGCTTTCTGTGTAAGTTCACCCAAGATTCCAGAGCAGTGGGAGGTTCTAATTCACTAGTCCCAGACTAGCTTTCCTTTCATTATACATGGTTCTAATCTATTATGACTGACAAATTAATTTGGACATCCAAATGTCAGTTTGTGATCCTAGGACACAGCTTGGGCTATAGCTGAGTCTCTCTAATTAGTACTAATTAGTTGGGGAGGGATCAGAATTGTATGCTAAGTCCAAAGAAAATAGTTTTATTATTTCAGTATAAACAGTAAGTAGAGCTAGCCTAACACAGCCTGGCACAGCTGAGATCCATGAGAGGCCAGCTTTAAGGATTAAATTTATAATCATGCATAATTAGTACTTCAATTATATGTAAATGGTGTTTTAAAGAGCTGGATAAAACAATTATTCGGGTAAGCAGTTTAAATATTCCCTGATAGACTATTCATTGCTTCTTTATTCATAAATAATACAAAGGTTAATTTCAGACCAATCCACGTAATCTAAACTGGAACAAACTTTAGATCGAGGCTACGCGATTTAATGGAGTGTTTCCACCGAGGCAACCAAGAAAAGAAAGTCATGGGAGAGAGGATGGAGAGTCACGTTCATGTTCACGTTCCCGATGCCTGGGGAGTTCGTCTAAAGGGCAGAATGAAGCCCTGCTCCCTCCCACTCCCCCCCACCCAGCCCCTGCAAACACAACCCACCTCCTGCAGACTCTCCCTATGGAATGGCCTTTCCTTCCTCCTTAAATCAGGAGCTGGTCTAGTCCAAAGCCAGCCCTTAAGCTCTGGGATGCGAAACATGGGAGCAGGAAGGGTAGGGAGAGAAGAGGAAAAGTACAGTAAGTAAAGAAGAACAGTGTGGTAAAAGGGAGGAAGACACATTCTCATTCATACACACACACGTGCACACACACACGTGCACATACGTGCACACACAGGCACACGTGCACACAGGTAGAGCAAAGTCAAAGTACTAACTATTTTGCAGGGAAGAAAAATGCCAGGGTTCCAAAGAGAGCTCCAACCACCCCAGATACAATGCCTAACTACTAAAGAAATCATCCTTTTGAATTTTCAAAGCAACAGATAACAGGGAAGGAAGGAAAGGAGACGTGTGAAGCATGTTTATCATCATTTCCGTATTCTGGCCCCTGGGGCTGCTCCGCAGGCTTCTTGCCCAGCTGCTGGACACATCTGTGTTCCCAAGATTGTGTCATAATCTTGAGGTGCAGAAGATGTCTTACCCAGAATTGAATTCTTCCTAGCACAAAGTTTGATATTCAATAAACAACCCCTGAATTAAACCAAAAGTAAGGGAAGGAAATGCAGCATACTACAGATTCTAACACAGCCCAAAGCCGAGTGTGTCTGGTCAAATGTCAGGGCAAAACCACATTGGGCTAAACTTGTGCATACGTATTTTGTCGTTAAAAATAACCTGGCCCAGTGAGGAACTGTTTAATGGGCACAGAGGTTGTGTCTGAGGTAATGAAAAAAAGTTCCAGAGTTCAACAGTAACTTCTCCTTGAGAAAAACTTGCCATCACTGGACTGTATGCCTAAATGGCTAAAACAGTCCATTTTCTATTACATACACTTTGCAATAATAAATGAAGAAAATAATCTTGAATTCATAAATTTTAATCTATACCATACAACCTCAAGTACAAACTAAGAGGAGAGGAACTGAATGGCCTGCTATCCCTTTATCTGTGGTCTGTGGACAAGGAAGGAATTGTTGAGTCACTGAATTGGCCCAACAAGCCAAGTGCCTGCTCTCCCAGGTCAGACGCCATGATGCTCACCCTCCATGCCTGAAAGGGCATCTTATCAAATCCTTTGCTAGCCTTGGTAAGTGCAGAGATGAGGTTATTCCTCTCTTAGCAAAGCTATAAACAACTCATCTAAAAATGTTTCAAAGGAAAGATAAAACCTTGAGATTGATCAACATGCCCCATGGGAGAAAATGTGGTAAAAATCAAATGAAGCTGTAAAGGTCTTACTTTCCTCAAAATTTAGCTATAAATCTGTTTTAGTTTCCCTTCCAGTTGCTGTGACAAAAATACCCTGACAAAACAACTTAGGGGAGAAAAGGTTTCTTTTAGCTCACAATTTCAGATTATAGTCTGTCATCGAAGGCAAATCCCAGGTGGCAGGAGCTTGAAGGAGCTGGTCACAACCAGTCAAAGGCAGAGGGAGAAGGCATGCAAGCTTACTGATCAGCTCCCTTTCTCTATTCTCACACAGTCCAGGACCCAAACCCAGTGACTGATACCATTCACTTTCAGGCTGGGTCTTCCCATATCAATTAACGTAATTAAGACAGTCCCCCACAGACATGCTCACAGACCAACCTAATCTAAACAATTCCCTATAGTGACTCTCCTCCCAGGAGACTGTATCAAGTTGAAAGTTAAAACCAATCATCACAAATGCAACATAAAAGTTGAAACTTATTTTGACAATTGACATGCTGATTCTAAAATTTATATGGGAACTCAAAAGACCAGTAAGATCTTTACAGTATAGGCTGACTATTCCCCTACTTACTAAGGTCTTTCACAATTTTTCTCAGTAATGTTTTTTAGTTGTCTATATGAATATCTTCTCTTTTGTTTATTTATACCTGGCAATTCAAATTTTTTATTTGACTGATAAAAGCTTTAAGTATTTTTTAATGGATGATATGGAGAAATTCATGCATGCTCAACTCTTTGTTAATTTTTCCATTTATCTTTGTCAATCTTTGGAGATTTACCACATATACCATCATGTCCTGTGGGATTAATAGTTTTTCTTTCTTTCTGACCTCATTCCTCTCTTTCCCTGTTTGTTGGCTTCCTACTTTAGTTAGAACTCCAGTATAATGTTAGATATAAGCGGAGCATCTTGTTCCCAGCCGCAAATGGATGACTCCAATATTTCTGCAATGCATTCTCTTTCTAAAAAGTATCCTTTATTAGATAAAAAGTATTTTATTTAATTCCTAACTTATTAAGATTTTTTTCTTTTTAATATCACAAATGGATGCTGAATTTTATAAAATGCTTTTTCATATCTGTTAAGATAATTTCTTCTTTATTCTGTTAAGGTTTGAGTCACATTGGTTGATCATTAAATGTTAAATCATCTTAAAACAAAAAAATCAAATAAAGTTGAACTTTCCAACCATAAAGAGAAAAAAACTTGAAATCAGTTTCTTTCTAAAACATCAAGTTCAAGCAGTGTGGCCTAAATTAGCATGTGAGGTGGTAAAATTAATTTATTGTACATCCGGTATTACATACAACCCAGAAAAATTAGAAGCAAGCCAGATTGTTCTGGGATTTTTCCATTAACTTTCCACTACACTCAATGGCCAAGTTTGGTTGGTGGAAGCAGAGCCATCCAAGTTTTGACATCTGTTAATAACACTGGGTTTAAACAACAGCCTGGATTCTCTCTCTTTTTTTTTTTTTTTTTTTCCCCTCTTTATCACAGATAATTGAATTTTGGGGGCGTAGACGAGAAGAGTGCAATGTGGGAAAGAAATGATGCTGGCTTCAGCTCACCCCTGCCCTTTATGGATCGGGCTTTGTTTTGATGAGCTGCCAATACCAAGGATGTCCTAGCTAGCCCATCTGAGGAGGACCACTTGATCCCTCATTCATTTCGGGCCACTCCATCAGACTCACCTAATGTCCATGCAAAGTAGTACTTGGGCTTTGCGGCTTGCATAACAATGTATAAGTAGCTCAGTCTAGTCAGAAAGTTGGCTTTATGGACAAACCAGTCATCAACAAGGAAGGTGACAGGGAAGGACTTCGTGAGCGTCAAAAACAAAAGGAGAGACATCAAAGTAAGGCACAACTTCTGTATCACAGCTCGCTGGAAATGGGGGGAGAAAAAAACCAATATAACTACTCAGGTGTGAAGGCCACGCCTTTGGCAAAGACATCTTAATAACACTGTAGATCCAGTAACTGCCTCAGCATTACTCCCCCGAAGGGAGGACAGCAGGCAGTCTTCCTCACAACACAAATCTGATAGGACCACATGCTGTATTTAGATGCAGAACACACAAGTAACTCTTGAGGACTGAAGGTATTCATTACAAACGTGGGCTATATCTGTGTGTGTCTTTCATGAAAGACACAGAGAACATGAACGTTAGAGGGCAGCCATTTCCATCAGAAAGCAATTGATGATTTGCTTTCCAGTGTGACAGCCGGCAGAGCCCTGGAAACAGACTTGAATCACCAGCAAAGTGACTGTGCAGGACTTCCGGCATGAAGGTTTCTGTGCAGGTGATCAAATACCTGAGCTAGTTTGTGGGCAAATAATGGAGAGTTTTAGTTTTCAAAAGATGGTTCAGATGCCTAATCTGGCATTAAGATACACTGACTTTTTAAAGTCCTTGGGATATCCACAGTCACTTTGCCCGGTTCCTCTGACTTTCTAGGAAATGTTATTCTAAAGGTCTATAGTTTCCAGCTTCATAGAAATGGGACACTCATCTTACTCATATGTAATATGACATAGCAACAACACCCCTCTCAGAGGGAATAGTGCTTAAGTGACTGGGCATTTACAAGGTCCTGAGGACAGTGCCTGACTCCCAGGTAAGTGCTCCAACACAGAGAACAGCTTAAATAAGTACTATACTGGGTTTTAAACAGATGTGGGGAGACCGGGATAACTGACCGTGCTCTTTGCTAAGCTGTTTGACATTTTGCTATTGTTTTCTTTTGTTTTTCAATTCTAGAGATTGAACCCGGATCTTGTACATGAGAGGCAAGTGCTGTCACTGAGCTATACCCCCAGCCACGGGTTTTTAATTAGAATGACTGATAGTAAGAATCACCCCTGACAGTAATACCCAGTACTAAACTTACAGTGGGAGAAGGTTCTGGAAAATTGTGGAAACCTAATTGCTTCCAGTTCACTTCCAACAACTTCATGTGTATATGTCTCCCTTCAATGAAAGCTACGTAGTCCTTGAAATTATTACCAGGGCCAGCTATGATGCTCATGAAATTGAGAAGGTAGCTTAAGTATTCCAAAAAAGATGGCTTCACTCTGTGAACAGAAGCAAAATTTAAAAGCTGAGTACTTTTGCATGTCCAAGTTTTCTTCATAATGTGCCAATAGACAATCATACACAAGACCTTTCCTTTTTCTGTAAAATCCACTACAGGAGAAATTGAGGCATGGGAAACCTGAATGACACAGGTGGTCTGAGCCAGTCAGAGCTCCACGTCGCCCTCTGCTGGCCAGGATGACCAAGAACACAGGGTGGGAAACTACTTGGAGGCTGCTGAGAAATGTTTCCTGCTGTCACCTCTATCTGCCCACAGCACAAAATGAAGGTAATAAACAAAGGCAGGGTGAGAATCTGACCTAATGTCAGCTGCTGGAGATGTTCTGGAAAACTCCCTCCTGATGGCCAAAATAAATACAAAACAGATGGCAGGTGGAACCGTTTCCACTTTGAAGAGGCCACACCAGACTAACACTGTGACAGTCTGTGTCTGCTTTGGCCTCTGGGTCCTGAGCCACAGAGCAGGGAAAATGTGAGAGCATGGTTCTGTGGATGCTTCATGTTGCTGGGGAGGCCTTTTCTAGGGGAAGGAGTGCCTGAAATGCCTTTGCTAACCAGGTCTTCAGACGTGCCTTAGGTTTTTTTATAGCCCCTCAGGGCTGAGCAAGAGACCTGACATTAGAATCTCCCAGTGCTTCTCAACTGATTCCAAGTCTCGGTTCCTGGACCAGCTCCTTACCGGTGCCAGTGAGCTGCTGGTCTCTCTAGTGGGAACCTTCCTGCCAGGCATGGCTGTTCTGTGAACCCCACTGAGCCACCCCCATGCATCCTCAGCTCTATTCTCCTGCTTCCCCACCCCTCTGCTCTCTAACTCTGTCCTCTTTCCACTTCCAACCACACCAGCTAAAGCCCACCTTGAACATCCCTCCCATTCCCTAGCCCAGATTCACCTCTTCTATTCTGCTCTGTTTCCTGCCTTTCCATGGGCTGGGGACTTAATCACACTGACATGCATTGGTAATTAGCTATTTCTTAAGGGCTGCATATAATTCTGTACAAATTCTGTACTGTACAATTCCAGTACAAATAATTCTGGAATAGAAACACGTACTCTGGTAAAGAAGAAGCTAATGGAATTAAGACAAATAGAGATGAGATAAAGTCACTCTTTAACCCAATAATCTTGCTTTAAGACTCTACCCAACAGGTAGATCCAAACACATTGTGAATGATCTTTATGCGAAGCTAGTCATTGCTTACTATTTTTCAGAGCCAAAGATTAGTAGACAGTCCAACAATAGCATTCACTAAGTAAACAATATTATACTCATATAGTGGAATCAATATGTAAATGTCTTCAAAATGAAGAAATTCTTGATATCTATACAAAGAGCAGGAGACTATAATGCTAACTTACTTTACAGCAAGTCGATGCTGCTCAGGGGAAAGGTCTTCAGCTCTCCGACCCAACCCTATGAAAATGAAATAAAATTGGGAATAAGATGTTTGGAGTGACAGAAAAAACTTCTCCTAAAAGAGTCTCCCTAAACTCATTTGGAAAAGGTCAATTATTTTTTGCTTCATCTATCATAGAGTCCATGGTTTTTGCTTTCTCAAAATTGCCCTGGGGACCAAGCGTGGTGGCCCACACCTTTAATCCAAACACTCAGGAGGCAGAGGCAGGTGGATCTTGGTGAGATCTAGGTAAGCCTGGTCTACATAGCAAATTCCAGGCCAGCTGGGGCTACAGGGAAATCCTGTCTCAAAAAGATGAAACAATTTGTTTTTCCTGGGGAGATGAGGCATTGGTAGAGAGTGAACTTGACACTCACAAGGCCCTGGGTTCCATTCTTATGATGAGGTGGAAAAATGCTGTGAATCAGACCTACCCATAAGTCCATGTGAGGGAGGAAAGTCTCTACAGGAGTGTATCAACAGGTGGGCAGTCAATGGTTACCTCTGTCAATTTGCCTACATTTGGAGATTCCTCACCACACCATAGGACCATGGCTCTAGCAGAGGTGTAAGCACCTTTCTCAGGCAGCACCAATGAGAAGTCTCCCTCATTATGTCAAGCGTGATACCTGGTATGATGGGTAACACTGACAGTCAATTTGACAGGATCTAGAATCACCTAGGAGACAAGCCTGGTTTGGCTGCCTGTGAGGGATTATCTAGATGAGGTTAGCCTCTGGGCATGCCTGTGATGCTCTGTTCCTCTGTGAACCATAGTAAACTTTCTCCCTTAGGTTGCTTTTGTCAGGGTACTTTGTCATAGCAACAGGAAAAATAACCGATACACCAGAGAGGACTGGGACAGGGCATAATGGGGAAGAAACAGGGACTTTCTTCTTCCAAACCACAGAACAGATGTAACCCTAACTGCAGGGAAACACGAAGACTTATCAGACTTTTCTCCCTTTTAGAACCCACCCACAGCAAACACACTTCCAACCAAATCTGACATGTATTTCCTGGAAAATATACGTGCTCCCTTGGAGTCAAAGAAACTGAGGTGTTATTTTTTATTATTAAGATTATTTTTATTATTTTTAGTTATGTGTATGTGTGTGTCTGTATGTGGGTATGTACATATGAGTGCAGGTGAATATAGAGGCCAGAAGAGGGTGCCGGATTCCCTGGAGCAGGAGTTACAGGTGGTTGTGAGGTGCCTGATGTGAGTGCTGGTACCCAAACTTGGGTCCTCTGCAAGAGCATCAAATACTCTTAACTGCGGAGCCATCTCTCCAGCACCCCTCCGCTTTATTCCTCCTTGCTTTTTCAAGACAAGATCTCACTATATAATCCACGTGGACCTGGAACCTGCAATCCTCCTATAAAAGGAGCCAGAGTTACAGAAGTGCCCGGCTTTGAAGTATGGTATGCAACATAAGCTAACCCTAAACCTGCTCACCAACCATGAAGGCAATTCAACAATGTACCTAAGATGGGCATGGTGGCATGTGCCTAGAATCCTAGCATATGGAAGGCAGAGATAGGAGGGTAAAGCCCAGTCTTAGCTAGATCTACATAGCAAGTTCCAGGCCAGCCAGAGCCATGTAATAAGATCCTGTCAAAAGAAAATGCCCAAGATTAGATGGAGTGTTTTGGCAATTTCCTCATTACCCAACACGCAAAGGGAAAAAAAAAAAAAGAAAAAGAAAAAGTAAATAAATAGTTTGTTTCATGTTAGAGATACTCCATAAAATATGGTAAACTGAGAATACTTCTGAAAAGTCAACTTTTTAAAAGGAAAAAAAATTATATACACACACACACACACACACACACACACACACACACACACATATATGCAAATAAACAAATATAATTGCATTACAGGAGGCAAAAAAAAGGCTCCAATTTAGGATCATCTGACCTGGATTCCCAGATTCCTGGATCTACTCTGTTCCTAACTATATGGATACACACACACACACACACACACACACACACTGACTTGGCCAGGCGTGGTAGCACCTGGGAAGCAGAGGCAAGAGGATGCTAAGCTTGAGATCAAAATGCGATACATAGTGAGCTCCAGGCTAGCCTGGGCTACATGGTGAGACCCTGTCTCAAACACACATGAACACACACATTTCCACCACCAGCGAAAACCCCATTCAGTTTTTCCCCCTGAGATTTCAATAATTAGCATGTGTGTCCATGTCAGGAACTGGCTGGTTTTGGTTATAATGCTTCTGTCAGTCTACACCATCAGCGTGTCTAACTCTTGACATTGCAACACAATGATGTCATATACAAAGTTTATGCTCAAGAACCACACAACATAGTCCCCCCCACACACCTTTTAATGTTTTCAGTAAGTTTATAATTTGGGATAGGGCCACATTCACAGCTATCCTGTGCCCTGTGGCACCCACAGGCTATCGACTGGCCATACCTGGCAGCCATTTCCAGAGTTCTGGGTAGCAACAGGGTGACCAGCTCACCTGGTTTTCCTGGGACTTTAAGATTCTGACAGAGAGAGTCACATCCTGCGATGTGTCTCAGCCCTAGGGTCAGCGACTCTAGAGACACACCATCCTTGTATGGAATGACCCAGTTCTGTGTAGAGTAGCTAAAGCCCCAAGTATGAACAAGACACACGGGTCAAATGAAATGCAATCCGTTCCCAAGCTTTAAGTAAAACAAGGGAACTAGCTGTGGGAAAGAATTTTCTGAACGTGTCAGGAGTCAAGAGTGTCCACTAGAGCAGCACAGAGTGTAATTCTGGTAACTGAATCTCCCTCTCATTAACAAAAAGAGATTTTACTATTTTATGTGTATAAATGTTTTGCCTGCATGTATGTAAGTGCACCCATGCATGCAATGCCTGTGGAGGTCAGAAGAGTATGTCAGATCCCCTGGAACTGGAATTAGGAACAGTTGCTAGCCTCCATGTGGGTGCTGGGAATCGAACCCAGGTCCTCTGCAAGAACAGCCAGTGCTCTTAACTGCTGAGCCATTTCTCTAGCCCATAAGAGCGACTCTTAAAGCTGTACTGAAATCCCCCACCCAGCTGAAACAGGCTTCCTCCCTCCCCTGGAACACAGCTTTAACAGTGTAAATCAAACACTCTGGCCGTTACTGGGAAGAAACCGAGTGAAGAAAATGTTCAGTTTTATATTAAAAAAAGCTTCTTTTTCCTAGTTTCTTATAGGGTCAGACTCATCAGATTTTCCCAAGCAGCCCTCTTCCCCAGGGAGGAAAAACCCTAGCATTAAAATCTGATTAGCTAGCCAATGCTATCTAATTTTTTTTATTACGTTCTAAGTTCTTCAGAAATGAAATAAAAGCAAAAAGGGAGCCATTGTCTAAAGAAATTTGGAAAAGAAGGTTAGAGGACATCACAAATTAACTTTAAAGTGTTATAAAGTTCAACAGAAAACCCCACTGTTCTAGGAGTAAACATCTCAGCAAATGTTAGACTGTAGAGTCATTGGGGGGTGGTGACTGGGGTAGTAAAAGAGTGTAATGAAGGAGGTCTGGAAATTCTGAACAAGAGCAAGCAAGGCCGTGCCAGCACTGGTATAAAGCTTGGACTGTGTGTATAACACACACATGAGAACTCTGCACGCCAGGCTCGCTCTGAGACCAAAAGGAGGGTTGTTTTTCTTACCATCATGAACTTGGAAAGCCAAGGTTGTGATCTTCTGAGTGGCAATCATCAAAGGCCTAGAAAGAAGAGAGAAAATCAAAGCTAGCATAAAAAAATAAAGCTACAGGAAGAAATGCCTATTTCTTTGTATGGTGGTTTTCACCTTGATGTTTATTAAATGAAATGCAAATATGGTAAATAATTTTATTCCCCTTGCAAACTGCTTTAAGTATGCAGACATAATAATACTTTTACTCTGTCCTCTGAGCTTGATAGACCTTTGAAATTTTTTAAAATTTTATTTATTATTTTTTATTTCATGTGTATGAGTGTATTGCCTGCATTTATGTAAGTGTACCCATGTTGTACAATGTCTGTGGAAGTCAGAAGAGGGCGTCGGATCCTCTAGAACTGGATGGCTGTTAGCCACCATGTGGGTGCTGGGAATCAAACCCAAGTCTTCTGCAAGAACAGCCAGTGCTCTTAACCACTGACCATCTCTCCAGTCCCAAGACCTTTGAAATCTTGAAGTCAGCCTGGCTAGGACAGTCCACATAAGACCCTCACAGGATTATGTCTGTAAAACATTCCCTCAGGAAGGGGATAAGGGAGAACCATCAGACCCGAGATTCCAAGTGCATATAAACCAGTCCCAGCTGCCTGAGGAGGTGTCAAAACATACAGGAAGTGGAAGGTTGACAGAAGTGAGGTCTGAGGAGTACCACTTTTCCAAGTTATCACTCATGCTGGGGTGGCGCTTTTAGGTGATGTAGCTTCCTGGCCATCCACACTCCTATGAGTAACCTCTCACCAATGTTTGCAAGTAACTCCAAGAAGCTCAGTGGTGCACCAAGCTGGACCCGGATGGCACTGTTTCTTCAGTCTGTCCTCAGTGCCCCCTACCTGGTGTGAACAGATACATGTTCCTATCTCCCCAGGAAAAGTACCGCAATCATTCTAGATAACAAGCTCACACTAGAGAGCCTCTCTTGTGCTGTTACTGAAAGTGAGGCCTCATCAGCAACATCAGTATCACCCAGAGCGTGTCAGAAGTACAGAAGCTCAGAGTCCGTTCCAGTCTGGAAAATGAGATTCCATTTTAACAAGATCCCCAGGGAATTCAAACTCCCATCAAAGTGTGAGAAGCACTGGTTTGCAGAAATACCAAATCCAGAGCCCTGTTTCCACCTGGACAGCCCGTGACAGACCACATACACAATGGTGGTTCCAGAAGGTTATAATGGAGCTGAGAAACTCTCATCACCAAGTGGCATCATCACTATCATCTGTATATTATATCATATATACAATAATATACATTTATATATTATATATAATGCAATATGTCTGTGAAAATTCTGCTATAAAGCAAATCTGCCTAATATGTTTACATGTACAAAACACCTACCACTACGTTTTGATTCCCTGCAGTATTCACAACTCCTTGCTATGACATTCTGTTCCCTGAGCTTGACATAACCTTTGCCATCTTAAAATCGGAGCCTCTGGGATAGCCCAAATGAGGTGTTCACAAGATCAGGTCCATAAATATTCCCTCCTAGAAAGTGGTAAGGGAGGGCCATCAGAAAAGAATGGTATCCAAGTTCATAGCCTAGGAGCAATAGGCTCAGCTTAGGTATGTGGGAGGCTAGACCATATAGGCTTGTGTAAGTGTACCGTGGGATGTCCAAACAATGGCAAAGTTACCTAATGACACATTTCTCAGGGCATGGTCTCAGTGTAAAATGACACAGAACTGTGCTTGCTTCTTCATCCAAACACGCTTTCTTCTATTAAAGGCAGTTCTTCCACGTGCACATACTATTGTAAAATAAAGTTGTTTAGAAACAAACCTTTTGTTAACAGAAATAACACCAACTTTAACTTGGAAAAAGCCACATTGCATAACTTTTCCTGAAAGACATGAACAAGTGACTATTCACCCCATATAGGGCACTGATGATGGACAAAGGAAATCAATCCACCAAGTCTAGCTTTCCGAAGCATAGCGTTTAGCTGGGGTTACTCACCAATGTAGGTGAAGAGTTACCTACGGGAGCAGGTATGCAGAGCTACAACACTGAAGATGACCCTCCCTAACCTCTCCCAGCAAGTGCCAACTGTTTACATATCTTCAAGGAGGGGGTGAGAATTCATGAGCTTCATGGGCCCCTGAGCGACCTCATGCACCTGCCCCCAAGTGAATGTGAGGGTCCAATCGTGTGAACGTCTGGTGTCTGGTGCAGGTAATCACAGTTGTCTTTTTGTTTTTTAAGTATCACATTGTTTCCTTTTATTGAAACATTTCCTATTCCTTTATATGTGCTGAAAACATGGTATCTTTTAATAAATTCTGAAGTATTATTAGAGTATTATTAACTAGAATCACCACTGTACAGCAGGTTGGAATAATTGTCTAATTTGAAGACAGCAACATCCACGTCATGCCAGAGGATAGGGTTTCACTAGAGCAATCAAATAAAAACTTACTAGAGGAATGACGTCCACATCAAAAATCACACTAGGATAATTTGATGAGGGGAAGAATTATCTTTTAAAGCAACAGTGATAAGATAACTGTTCACATAAAAAGAACATAAAAATTAACTGGAACCATTTTGAATGCCTAGATGGTAAGAGCTAAACTATAAAATACTTAGAAGAGAAGATACATGTGATCTGTGGTCTTCGATTAGGTTTTTAATGTATAACCCCCCAAAACATCAGCAAAATAAAACAATAAGCTAAACGGGTATCACTAAAAACTAAGCTTTCAGCTACATATGGCTGCAAGCCTGTAATCCCATCACCCAGAAAGCTGAAGCAGGAAGATCAGAGGTTGGAGGACAACCTGGGCTACAGAGAAAGACACTGTCACAAAAGAAAAACAAATTGTTAAATTGCTGTGCACCAAAGTAAAGAAGTACAAAGATACTTTGCTAAATGAATACAATGTTTGCATTCAATTCTTCCACCTTAATGGACAGTCCAATTTAAAAGTGTTCATAGGATCTCAATGGATAGCTCTCTTAGTATATGCAGATAGATAATAACCACACAAAAAGATGCTCAGTAGAAATTAGTCATTGCAGAAATTCAAGAGGAAGTCACAGTGAGGTGCCATTCCACAAGCATCAGAATGGCTGTAATCAAAGTGTTGGCAAGAATGTGGAGAGGTCAGCATCCTTAGCATTGTTGGTGAGAGGATGTGATGGTCAATTTTGATTATCAACTTGCCTTGATGAAGAAACACCTAGGAAATCAATGGTATACTTTTGGCTTTGTCTGTGATCATGCACATTTCCAGAAAGGTTTAACTAAGGAAAGAAGGCCCAACTTGAATCTGAGTGGTACCATCCCAAGGGCTGGGGTCCCAGATTAAATACAAAAGGAAGAAAGAAAAAGTCCCTAGATACCAACAGGTGTCTCTCTCTGCTTCATGACTGTGGATGCAACACAACTGACCATCTGCCTCGAGTTCCCACCGCCACAACTAACTGCCATGATGGACTGTAAGTCCAAATTAACCCTTCCTCTCTTAAGTGGCTTTTTGTGAAGTATTTGGTCACAGCAATGAGAAAATTAACTAATACAGAGCATTAAATTAAATGTTTCTCTGTGTTGTTGAGAGGATTAAATGTTTCTCTAAAGGTTAAACACAGAATCATCTCATGATCTAGCAATCTCACAGCAATGTATATACTCATGAGAAATCAACATGTCTACATAAAACCACATGCATATGTGTTCACAGCAACATCCCAAAGAAAGATACGAAGAGTCCATCAACTTCTGAATGCACAAATAAAATGTGCTATATTGAAACAATCGAATGTTGTTTGGCAATAAGAAAGGACAAGGTACTAACACATAACCCAACATACACGCACCTTGGAAACATCAGGCCAAGTGAAAGAAGTCACAATAGGTTAATGGCCAGAGTAGGTTAATCTATAGTAAAAGCAAATACATTACTGGCTGCCTAAGGCTAATGGGGACAGAGGAACATGAGGCATAAACGTTAACTCACGTGGGTTTCTTTTGGGTGGTGATGAAAAAGTTAAAAGAATTGAGGTGATGGTTGTGCTTTGTGAACTCACTTGCTAAGTGGAGGGGGGGAGACCTTAAATGTGAATGTGATGTGAGAATTATATCTGAACTAACAAAATAGAGGCACCTGTATTTCCAGTTGTTTATCCTGGTTTACTACCCTGGCTAGCTCTATTCCTGGCAGCTTAGTTCAATCAGGTTACTATAATAAAATACCATAAACTGGATGACTTATAAAGACAGGTGTCCTAGATCAATGAGCAAGCAGATTCGATGCCTGGAAAAGTGGCTAACTTCCAACACAGTCAGTCGCCTTTTCAATCCTCACATGGTAGATGAGCAAGGAGATCTCCAGGACCTCTTTTACAAGGGCACTAATCTCATTGATGAGAGCTCTACCCCCTCATGGCTGAATCAGCCTCCCAAAGAGCATCACCTTGGGGGTTAAGTTTTAGCATTTGAATTTTGAGGGAACATGCATTTGGACTATAGCCTTGCCAAGCAAGGCAGAATAAAATCCCTGACTTTTTCTGACTACCACACCATCCTTCAGTTTCACCTCAGCCTGGTTTTCTGATCTCCACTCGTGACTCCTTGCTGAACTTTCTGTCTTTGAGCCCTCTATACTAATGGACCATTTATTCAGAGGCCTGAGGTTTGATCCACGTCTCATGACATCATCTTGGACCCCTGTGTCCTGTGCTCAAGGCAGGTGTAGCTGTGTGGGAAGACAGAGCCAGATACAACATGCTGTGGTCAGGTGTAATACACAGCAATTACACTCATCCACTTACCTGATTCCTCTCATCCTTATCCCCATGTGTGTGTGTGTGTGTGTGTGTATGTGTATGTGTATGATAAACTATGTTCAAGAAAAACACTAACAACTATTTAGAAATCCTCATCTCAGCCAGGTGTGGTGATGCACACCTTTAATCCCAGCACATGGGAGGCAGAGGCAGGTGGATCTCTGTGAGTTCCAAGCCAGCTTGGTCTATATAGTAAGTTCCAAGCCAGCCATAGCTAC